GCCTAATTTGACAATTAAAATTTAAATGCATTTTTAGTATACGTAGGTCTACTTACAGACGACTGTTGATTGCATAAGAGTGTGTATTTCGTTCGTTGCTGTTCGTTTTGAGATAAAAAACATTGATAACACAAAAGAGAATGTCATTCGGATATCGTTAATACGTTTTACAAGATTGCTCTTGAGACCCACAAAAGCTATGAAATGTGAATCTCGTTCAGGCCTCATCAGATCCAATCTGACTTTTAATTAATCCATCATTATTATCACTATCATCGATTAATTTTAAGTCAGGCCTCGGCAGACTTTGGACTATGGATTTGTCATCGTCATCATTACCATTGTTTTAAGATTGAAACATTTTAAACAAACGAATTTTTAATTGTAAATAGTTGTAAGTGTCTGTATATTTTCGAGATGCAAATAAATCAAATCAAAATCATCATCATCATCATCATCATCATCATCACACGTTCGCCTTTCGACATTGATATAGGTCTTGCAAGTTTGGAGTATTCTTGTAGAGTCCTCGCTGGCTTTTTTGCTTTATTCTACGCAATTTCTCTTCCATCTTTTCATACACAACCATTTATTTTATTAATTTACTTAGGGTTAGGGTTATATTTAGTATGTATATATATTTATAGTATGCCTCTAAGTACTGGTAAGTAATTTTACAGTAGTTATCTTTTTGCCAGTCAAAATGGAGCAAACAACCATCGTAAATGTAGTATACATTCATGTTTTAATACCATCATTGAACATAATGAAAGGCTAAGTCCAATGTCATGAACAACAGAATAATCACTACATCATGATCTAATTAATTAATTACATGATCTAATTATTAATCATATACAGTACATAAGACTAATGATAAGCAAGGACATCGATCACGTGTCCCCATTAGAATAGGTCTTTCAATTTACATGTCCTCTTTTACAAAACAAAAGTCAAACTATAAACATTCGTCCAAAAGCCATACATTATAAGCAGGTAAAGCTATATATTTTATAAAATACCTTTGCAGCAAATACATTTGATTGATTACACAAAAACATAGTTGGTCTCTTAATAAAATTAATTAATTATTTAATTTAGCTAGTCAACAACTATTTGCATGCAGGCTTGAAGAAATGCTGATATCCGTCCATATACACAATTTTTAACCAATAAATTCAATTTTTACTGTCAACATAACAATGATTTCCACATCATAGCATTTCATATTATGTTTGATAAAAAAAAAAACAAACCTATTGTAAATGGATTCAGAAAACATTTACTTTATACATAACAAGAATGGAAAACTCTGAATAGTATTGATAAATTGATTAATGAACATGATGTACAATCATCACAGTTTCAACATAATTAATTCTATATTTTCTCTTTGGAATCACAAAAACAAAACAATTAAAAAGAATATACAAAAGATCAGAATAACTGAATTAAACCATATCAATGTTTACATTAAAAAACATACGAGGTGATGGAAAGAGATTAAAGAAAAAATAATAACTGAAAATGCAAACATTTAAATTGTTCTATCCCTACATGTTAGAATTCACCATAGCCAACAATTAGGTATTTTATATATATATACAATTTATACATTTAATCAAAAGTAATTCAACAAAAATGACATGATCTTACAGGAATTGCACAATTTATTAAGGCCTACCATTCTGCTTTTATCCCTTTTTAATTTTTCCTGAAGACTAATCACAAACTATACTCTCTTGATTAGAATCCATTGCTTCTTAAATTTTAAGTACCAGATTAAAAAAAAAAAGAAGAAAACTCAAATCTCACAGAATTATATGATAAACATGCTATTAATAATATAGAATATGAACATTGTTTGTGTGAAATTTAGAAATCGTAAGCATTTTGGAATAATTTACTGGGAAAATATTAATGAAGGGCAGCAGGCCACTGACTGAAATCCAATACTGGTAAAATATAAATCGGTGAAGTACAACATACTCTAAAATAAAATTATATTGTGCGCTTGCTGGTAAATTTACATTGTGACTTGCATTCTGTCCATAAAGGCTTATGTGACAAATATGCCTATATGAGAGGGCATGATGATATATCACACTCATATATGGGCTTGATGTCATATCACATTGGTATGATGATGGCATATTACAGCTGTATATAGGCATGATGATGTTATATCACACAAATATATTGGTATGTCATATTACACCCATATATGGGCATGATAATAGCATATCATAACATATATGGGCACGATGATGTCATATCACACCCATATATGGGCATGATGATGTTATATCACCCATATATGGGCATGTCATATGATCACACCCATATATGGGCATGATGTCATATCACAACCATATATGGGCATGTCATACCACACCCATATATGGGCATGATGATGTCATATCACATCTATATATAGGCATGATGATGTCATACACCCATATATGGGCATGATGTCATATCGCACCCATATATGGGCATAATGATGCAACATCACAGATAATTTGTCACATAAAACTTGCTAGACAGAGAACTGTCACATTTTTACAAATGGTTAAAAGTTAAATAATTCCTGTCGAACGGCATCAATAAATTGCGTAGCCTCATTTAGGACACATGCTCTTAACGTTTAATATTTTGTGAGAACGAACTTCAATAACCTGAATCATTCTACAGTAAACTGTAGGGCATTTTTCATCGTCTTGACGTCTATAGCAACTTGTGTACTAAATTTGTAATACTGTATAATTTATGAAAAAAAACACTAAACTCAATATCAACTGACAGGCTGTCTTGTGGTCTTCACTCCAGTACAGTACAAGTTAATTATAGATTAATACCAAATTCACTCGAAAAAATATTACAAGGACTTTCATAAGTCTTCCTACCAAATCAAAACCTTGCAAAAAATGGTAAAATTGATATTGATCTCATAAACATGCCTCTGTGAAATCTATTTTCCATGGGACGTCTCCCAATCTTACAGAGATAACCCTTTCACATGATTGCAATGTAGGAGGCGCATTTTCCCTAGCATGGGATGCTTGTATTATTTAGTCTTAGGGAAGATAGTTTCAAGACTAAATTATGATTAAAAAAAAGCCAAGGTTTAACTAATAGAGGATGCTCTTTATAAAATCTTCTAAATTCCTAGGTCCTAAAAAACTTTGTCTTAATTTTTGTATGATAGATTTACAGTTGGCAATGGGTTAGTTTACTATTGAGAAACTTCTCAGCTGCAATACACAAATATGTAGGAAAAGGTTTACCTATAAGTTCATCAAATTGAAGAAGTTATTCACTCAAATCAGCTGATAATGCAGAGACTATACAGAACTTAGTACCAGCTCTCTAGTAAAATGTTAGTCTGCTAAACTTAAACATGTTCAGATAAGAATGGTAGATTTAGCTGCTTTTCCTTCAACATCATCCCCTTATTTGCACTCCACTCCTTTTCGCTTGTTGCTACTAGCCCACTTCCATGTGTTTGCACACACACACACACACACACAAACTTATATATATGCACATGCAAATTAATATCTCAACCTATATACTTAAGACATCTGGTAGTTTCAATTTCACAAGTATATTAACCCTTTCCAGTCGTATGGCGTCACGACGACGCCCTCTTCGACTGTACTTTATAGCGAGGGGCGTCGTACGTATGCCCTGTATAGGTTTTCTGATAATTTGTTTTATAGCTATGCTGCCATCTACATAATTGCTTGATAGTGATTTAGGAGTACTGTATTCCTGAAGGGGGCCTCCTGTATTCAGACCAAATAAAATGGCTGGGCAAGTAAAAACCCAACATTTAGTGTAAATGATGTAATTTCTCAGCTTTGGTACAGACTCAGGCAATGGTAATGGGGGGGGGGCAGACTGGAAAGGGTTAAAGGTCAAGACACATACACAATCTAGCCTCATAGTCTTACACAACATGTATGTTTGCTAACAGAATATATGTTGTGAACTTTGACTTGATACATGCTTTGTAGTTAATTTGTTTTTATTTGCCTTGACTTTTGACACAGACATGCACAAGTAAAACTATGAGATGGCATATTATTATGATGACTCCCAAAGTGGTTCAAATAAATGCTGATCGTGGAGAAACTTGTTTCTTGCATGGCCAAAAAACACCTATTTAAGAGGCAGAACTATCCACAAAATGGAAATATCAACAGGGCTTTCTGGCACAGAAGAAATATCTGTCCTAATATATACACAGTGTGATGTGTGGATAGTTACATTACTTTCAAAGGGCAGTCTTTCACAAATTGTGATTCTCTTCAAGAGTTTGTATGAAGAGTATCTGAAGCAATTATTTATAATACTGGATTTGTTTTTGATTTTACCTGAATAATATATTTTTTTAAACTTTAATTTAAACAGATTATTACATTATTACTACTTTCCTTTCTAGATACAAAAATAAACACATTTGTGCTTAAAAAGAAGGCATGCCATTTATATCATGCATAGCAAATTTAAATTATTAATTGTCCAATAGAATTAATAGAAGCCATCATCCAATCAAAAACAAAAATCTAATATCTAGGTTCAAAGGTTACGGTAAGTGGCTCTAAAAAATTGGCTTACTGGCCACGAAGCAACCATGATTGGTAAGTGGATTGAATACATATATTAAAATATCTAAGTTTGATAATTACTGCCTATTTATGTAGCTTACACATCCTTATATCCCTGCAGTAGTGCAAATAAAACAATTTCCCTTGCAGCTTTTTTCCCCCAACTGCTCAGTCAGTGACTATCGTTAAATCATTGACAATCCAAATACATATGAATATAGTAACATATATATATATATATACATATACATATATATATACATATACATATATATATACATATATATATATATGTATATATATATATTAT